TATAGTAAACGTAATAATAATAATAAGAGAATCATAAAACAGAGAGTAAACATAATGTTGTTGTTGTTGTTATAATCAGTGTGAACAACAAATGATATATATTGGTTAATCGGAAACAAACTGTTTGCCGGTACTGCTTTATATTTTCAGTTGTTTTTATTTATTCAACTTTCATTTGAACTTTCACGTATGCAACAGTAATGTTGATGATGATGATTTGTTTGTAAGAAGTGTAGTTTAGAATAGTTTGCTTTTTGGTGTGTGTTACACGGAGTGTGTTGAATGAATGACCGAATAATTGTTCTGGTTTAAAACTCTTACGGATTACATTTGTTGTAAGAGAGTAAGTAATATGTGTGATGGGAAATGATGTATATGTGTATGTGGTGGCATTTGAGTGTTGAAGGTCAAGGTGAGATGTGAATTGTGTACTGATATGAAGTGTGTGTTGAAGTTGATTTTAAATGTGTTAATGGTTGTTGAGTGTGATGAATGAGAGGTGAGTGTAATAATGTTGTGAATGAACGGTTTGAGTGTGTTTTGGTTGAATTGGGATTCACAGTAGCTTTAATCAATCGATATCTTGATTATGATTTATTTAACATTTCAATCATCTCTTAAATTCTAGTCTGCGTAAACTAATATTTTATTTGATTTCTTGTTGTTAGTAGAAATTGCCTCTTATTATGCGCATAGAATGTTTTTATTATTTTAACTATCAAAGTTTTGTTTCTTTTATTTTCTTTATGATAAATGATGTCGCATTTTCCAACAGTTTTCAATGTTTTTTGTTTAATGAAAAACGTTCTTTTTTCGTGTTGGCTGTTATTATTTTGTTGAGTTTCTTTTTCATAATGATCAGATATATAGATTTAGTCAACAGTTTAATAAAATTCTAATTTTGTTTTAAGAAATTGTACAATTTTTCCATTATTCTAATACCTATTTAGTTGCATAGATCTCAGCTGATTACAGAATTCGCAATGCAATTATTAATCACCTTTAGTTTTAATAATACTCAATTGTTGTTCACATTGTTCAAGTGTTCATCATTCTGACAGCGTTAATAATTGTTAGTCTGATTATTATTCAGTTACATGATGTCAGTGTATTGTTACAATCCCGTTTTTGTGTATACTTATATTTTCACGCACTCATAATGGAACTATCTTTTGAGAAAGTTCGCTCTCTCTGGAGTAAAGAATTTACAGCTTTGAGCACAATAATATGTATGCTGTGCATCTGAATCCTCAAAACGAGAGGAATAGAGGTAGAATAAGGAATAATTTGCGCCGAGAACTGGAGACAGATATCAAGAGAATTAATAGTACTTAGGAACAGCTGAAACGAAGAGCCTAGAACAGAAGAGGTTTGAGACTAGAGGTGGATGGTCTATTATCTACGAGAGTTAACATGCGTAAATATGTAAGTATAATAATGATTGACCATAACCTTTAAAACCCAAAGAAGACTTATTGATCAGTTAACTTTTCTTCGAGCAAGATTAAAATACCTGTTACTTATTCTTTGCAAAAGTGATTTACACTAAGTCATTGAAAGTCAAAAAAAATCTTAATTTTTACATTTATTAAAATATCGTAAATATAATTATATTCTGTTCATTTTCTACAATTTTTCAAGTAAACTTTGGTAACAGCTGACATCAATAGAAAAATCATTATTTAAGAATAGGACATCAGACAGTTGGTCATCGAGTAGTCTGAAGCTAACCACTTTTTGTTGGCGCTAAGTTTCCAACTGAGTGGTAAAATCAGTCTTTAAGTAAAATGTCTTAATTTATGATTGAAATATGTTAAATTGAATGTTGAATTTTATTGATAATATTAAAAAAAGAAATAAAATTAACGTTAATTTTTTAAAAGCACTAAAATATATGTGCTACAGTCAATCTGTGGCCAATAATTTCTTTTTCATACAATAAAATAGAACTTAAACAGTTTAATTCAATACAAATAGCTTGTTTACACTATAAACGAACGACTGAAACCAACACTGTTTTCATATTAATTAGTAAATGGAATCATGAAAATGACCCTTCTATTTAATCATTAAAAGAAAAACTAGTTTTAACATCAAGAAAATGGAATAAAAAAGACATTTCTAAATATTTATATCATATAATAACTATGTCAACAAACTCTATGGCGAGTCGTCTTTAAGTTTATTTCATGAAATATCCTAAGTGAAACATCTATCGACTAATCGTTATGTTAAATCTATTAAATTTGACAATAGCATAGAATGAATTTAGCAAAATAACTCATGTCATTGAATGTGAAGCGTCTAGTTTCATTTTAAACATAAATTATATTCATGTCTGTTATCTCACAGTTCATATTATTAAATCAAATAAATTAAAACAATTCAGTAAAACAACCAGATAAATTTAGGACTCAAGAATGCTCTTTTTTCAAAGTAATAACAAATATTGTATGAATAAAATATCAATCATTATGTTTTTGTTATGCTCGTCAATTGGCATACTTGAAACTATTACGAGTTCACCTTAGTCGGTAAACAAGAGCGAAAAGAAATGATCTAGTGACACGATAGGCTAGTCTAATCCGAGCGCCCCAAGGTTCCACTAAATAGAGGAAGATGTCTTGATATGGCGTAAAAAGTGTATTATACAAGCACCCAGAAAATATGAAGTTAACAAGCAAACAAATCAAGTTCATTTATACCTGATAGAAATGTCCTTGGGAGAGCCACAAAAATGGCGTACTAAAACAATGCATCAGTCAAAAACAATCAAGGATTTTCCGTGTGGGAAATGTAATCATAAGGTCAACTGATCAGTCCATGCTCGAAAACATAAAATTCAAAATTAGGACCTTCATGAAATGAGTTCTGATGATCTAGCGTCCCTAACAGTTTTTTTTTGTAATTTCATATACAAACGATATATTAAAATGACAATAATTTACAATTTTCAATGAATAATATTTCCACATTACTATCTAACAATCTGTATTAGTTTATGCCCAAGAATGTTTAGTTGTGTTTTGCAAATACAATCATTTTCTTTAATTTTCTTTATGACTTATTCTAATGGTTCACATTGTGATTACTTTCTAATTATTATTATTTCATTTTTGTCTTTTGTATAGCGGACACTCATTTCTTTTGGTTTTATTTAGTGAATTATTGGTTTGCTTTCTATCATGTCTGACACTACTACATAACTTCATTTGTTGATAATCGCTGATTACTTCATTAAATGATATAATACTTACTGCATGCAGTATTTCAAACCTCTTGATCGTTTTTGATTTCTTGAATACAACAGCAAGTCATTTCCACAAGTCTTTAGAATCGGTATTTCCGTAAGTTTGACTTCCCTTGATCACTTTGTAACACTTCTCAATAATTTAATGGAGTATGACACATAAAAAATTACCTATATACATGATCCCGTTGTGAAAAGATTATTTTTTGTTGATATGTTTTCAGTCATTTTAATTCGTCAGCAGGTTATACTTGAACTACTCTGTTGAATAAGCCATCAAGAAATACTCATTAATTTTTAATTTCTTTATAATTTTTTTCTAAATGAATATTTTCATACTAGACAAATTACTTTGAAATTATTCACAAAATATCAATAAACTGTCTTAAGTAAACAAAATTAACTAGTGAAATGTAATTTATGACGTTCTTCTTATTATTATTGCATTGTATTACTGTCTCTGTATCGAAAATAAATATTACGAACAATAACCAGATTAATATCATTTAAGAGGGTTGTTAACAAGTTGGAGTTATGGGTAGCTTGGAATCAAGCAGGTGTCTGTATCGGTTCAAGTTGTTACATCAAATTAAGACAAAGAGAAGAGATTATCCAAAGAAATGCCAAAGTAGTAGAATTAGCCAAAGTTTCGAAAGTAGTAAAATTATCAGTCACTGACAAGATAATTTAGCTAGAATGGATGAATTTATGGAACAGAAAGGCATATGATAATTTTCAAATTCCAGATATAAAACAAGCACTGTCATGGTCAATTTTGAACCGCATCTCTCAAAGTCACTAGCCACTAGTTACAACAGTCTGCCTGCTTGAGATCAACAGTCAGTGGCTTCATGAACTGGTGTAGAGTCATGGTGTTGGAGTCCCTAGCTTTCAGCCAACCTACTGCTACATTAGCGGATATCATGCTTCGAGGTTCGCGTTACTTGGGTCTTCGTATCACAGGTCCTAATCACCTTAGTTGATCAAGATTTACAATCTTTTTTTACTATCTTCAGCTGAATGTATATCCGACGAAAATCTGGACTTTCCCACAGGTGATTCAAGCCAGCAAAAGGTGTGACGAGATTTCCATGTCTCAACTATACTCAAGGGGTGTGATATTTATTAGTAGTGTTTTGAGTCATCGTGATGTTGATACAGGTGCATACAACAACAAGTCTCAAACAGTACTTCCAACCATATATTACATTTATTCAAAACAACTTGTCATAAAATGGCTATATAAAATGTACATATTGGAAACAGAGAAAGAGCAATATTCAGCCCTGTAATTCAATGACACAGTCACTGAAAAAATTTTAAATAATGATATAAGTTTGATCTTGTGATAATCACTTTTTCAGTGAATAAATCGCATCTACAAGTCAATACAAGAATACCTAGTAAATCTTGTGCAATACATTAGTTTAAACTTGTGTTCACTACTTAGGGCTACTTATTTTCAAGTAAAAACCCACCTGTTGTCAAAATCAAAAACATTTTTCATCTAATGAGATTACAATCATATAGTTTATACTTTCACAATGATAAATTATTTCACTTGTAATTCTTGTACCAACAATCATTACATCAGGAAATTTTTGAAAAAAAACGACTAATCCAGAAATATTTCAAATTAAATAGAATTCAATATGCTTATTAAGCAAATAACTTTGATTAGAATAAACAATATAATTATCATCATGATATATATATATATATATATATATATATATATATATACACTTACTCAACTAAATTAATTAATCCAGTGCTACATGACCAATGTAATAAAGGCATCCCCGCAGATCTCCATGAATGATATTCTAATCCATGTGCAACTAATGCTTTAATGACATTCTCATCACCACCACCACGCATAGCAAAATGTAATAAAGTAGTTCCAAATTGATCAGTATGATTGACATTAGCACCATGTTTAGCAAATGTACCAACTGCTTCACTATCCGATCGCATACATGCACTTTGTAATGATGCAGTTAATATATCAATTGGTACTTTATGTTTACTCAAGTATTTATCTAATCCTTGATAATCTTTTACTTGAATAAATGCATTAATTACACGTGCTGGACTACCTCCACTAGATACAGCACTGGCAATTTTTGCCGCTACAATACGTTTACCTTCTGATGTAGTGAAGTTGTTCGATGCAATAGACATTGTATTTTTTCTCTTTTTTTTATTTTACGATTAGTTTCTCATCAAAAATCCATTTAGAAAAAAAAATAATAACTGTGTATCTGTTTAGTGGATAATGAAACTATCAGTTATAATTTGATGTTAGGAAGATAGTTATTTTGAAATTAGTTGAAATTACAATAACAAAAGTAGACGACTCTGTATTCAAAGCATCATCATTGTAAAGTATACATATCTATGAATCATATATATGTATATATGTACATATATATATATATAAGCTGAAATGAATGCACACATTTTGATAATAAATTTTTGCTAAAATTGGCCATTTAGTTACTGTATCATTCTTTTACAATTACATGTCTGTTAATGTTGTTACTGTTGCGTCTTACGCTTTCATTCTGTCTTATAAGCATGTACACATACGTATATATAGATATATATATTATGGGTTAGTGAGGAAAAAGCGAACAGCAAACTATGTACGACCTGATGTGTGTGTCTTGCTTTCACTCACAAACAAATTCACAATGACATACATTAGTTCGCTTTTATTATAAACCCGGACAAAATGAAGTTGTGCCGTTTACACTACACTAAGTCTGTAGACATGTGAGATTACAGTGTAAATGTAAAATATGCATACAATTTATTACTATGATTATGATCATTATTATCTCGGTATAATAATATTTCATGTAGGTTTGATAAACAAAAAAAAATAAAACAACTAACACCATTTCACTGCTCTCATTTGATTATTGAAATTACTGAATATGAATATATATTTTTCAATATATATTGATTGACCTATGGCGTAATTTGATATTCACAAAAAATTCAATTGAATTTGTTGAAAGTGATAGTAGTAACGATCAACTGTTATAATTTGATCATGGCAGAGAGTCTATTAAAAGTTTCAAATCAAAACACATCATTTCATTCACTAGTACATGCATAGTCAGATCAGTGCTTTTCATCATACCATAACTTATCTTTTAAATACTTAAACTAGATAGATTAAATTCATCGGTGTCAAAAGATAACGTTCAATTATATGAACCTATCAAGTGAATAAGAGATGTTTATTTTTAAATTAAAGATATTCAATATTCAATCAAAATCATATAGTTTCGTACAGGTTCAAATCGAATACTGATATATACGGTGAAAATGCGTCATTTTCGTTTCAAATTAAACGGGAATTGTTTTTCAGTGTTTCACTAAAACTAATCCAAATCTTAATGAATCATTTTTTTATGAGTAAGCTTTTAGTTTGGTAATAGTTAATTGTGATTACTGGGTAGTGAGGAAATGGAACATTTTACTCGAAATGGTGGGGTGTTTTGGCTAGAGTCGATTTTGTAAGTAATTGGATCTTGTTGCACTTAATTCAATGAAATATGTTTTATCTGTAAGAAGTCATCATATAATAGATAGAGTTGCAACCTAGCAGAAAGCATGAACCAATAACCTCCTGTAAACCAATAAAAAGAAACGTACTTTAATTATATACGTCACAGTTGATAACTAAGAAATGCATGATGAAACTGTTATCATCAATATAATTTTCTTCCATCTAAAATCACCATATGTTGGTAAAGAAAAATCCATAATGTGTTCTGTACCAAAAGTTCGTTATACTAACGTTTTAGCCAACTTCCATATGCCTATAATTATTCGAAAGGGGAACACTAAACACTAAACGTAGCCAAATGCACTGAATGTGTCTAATCAGGTTTAGTTCACTTTGAAGGTAAAAAATCATATATCTAATTTATGAAACTTTTACTGTATACTGACAAGGTATATATGAAATACATAATCGGGTATATGCATAAACCAATTTTCAATTATTTTATGATTTTGCATTCTGAAAGAGTGAGTGATTGACTGATATGCGTCATCTAACAAATGATAAAGTCATTTTATTCCAATAAAACAATACTTCTACTAGGTTTAAGAAAATGATTTTAAACCTAGATATAGGTGTTATACCCAAAGATTCACGTGAATTTAGACCAGTCAGAAAAAGAAATAAAAGAAAACATAATTTAGAAAGTCGTTTTAATCAAACGACAAGAAAAAGAATAAATTTTTGAACGTTCTATAATGATTTTATGTGATAACAATCATAGATTCGGAAAATACAATAAACATCGAATAAGAGCAAGGTAGGTAGTGTAAGATCCATTTTTTGAAAGCTTTGTTTGTGGAAATCTCTCCAAGTATACATTTGTCAGTTGTCCTTATCGATCCTTTCAGTTGTACATTTTGTTAGTCTGTTCGATTCCATTATGAAATGATAATATTTGTATTTTATTATAGTTTCTATTTCTTTTGCCTTCACTGAGTTTCTATGTTTCTTTCTGAACTGCATTTATGTTGTTTAAGCTGATACTTAGTTATGGCGACAGCCATATTGATTTGTTCCTCTTTTGATTGTGTTGCTTGCTTGAACTGGAATTGTGCATTTTAATTGTGAATCGAAGCACTCTTCCAGAATTGGAAACCCTCTGTGTTATAAAGCAACCAAATATTTTCTGTCGAACGAATCTGATCTATCCAGGAGGGATAGAATATCATTTATTTGTTCCTGTTAATTTAAATAATTGGACAATTTTTGGTGGAATAGCTGCGTGGCAATATTGTTTAGGTAATGATGTAAATTTATATTTATGATGAATATTAGAACCGTTATTTACCCAAATCACTTGTTTTGATTTCAAATGATCAAGACGCGTATCTAAACTACCTAGAGAGCTATTTCTCTGTCAAAACCTCAGTTTAGATCCTACAGGTAGTATATACATTTATAAAGGAATGCAGATTATTCAGGAGGTAGATCAACTTCATAAACTCTTGATCAAATCACCTAGATAAACGGTATACATATATTCCCGTTGTTTATCCTAGAGAACCGACGATACATACTTAAATATTCAGTCCTCCATGATTTATTTTCAGATAAATTGATGTAAAATCTAGCATTCTCATTTATCTAGTTCAGACATTGAAATTGAATACACATGTGATGAGAATAAGAAAAATGAAGCTTACCATTAAATTGTTCAATTGTATAAAATGTTTAATCATTCATTACCTTATCATCATGATCATAATACAAAACTGTCAATATTACAATAGATAATTTCTATTTAATACTTAAACAAATAATTTTAATAACTTCCGGACATGCTTAACAATTCAAAATAATTTATTCAAAGCCTGAATTGTTAAAAATAACGAATATTAGTCTGATAAAAAACCAAAAAAAGGAATAAATGAATGAATGAATTTCTAACCAAACCACATTGAACTTAATTGTATTGAATTTTTTTCTACATTGATGCATATTACAAATAATAATCGTTAGTGCATGACGTCAAAAGTTCTCCAATTTCATCATGTCACTTGAAATGTGAAATGAAATTTTTGTGTTAAACAGTCGAAGAGTTTGTTTATGTATATATAAAGAAATTTGAAAGTTGTAGCCATTTTTTCCAACTAAAAATCATATTCTATTGCTTTTATATTGTGAAAATTGGATTGGAATGATAGATTTTTTTTTCTAACTGTTAACTGAAATAGAAGCTACTTTATTCATTGTCAGTTTCCAAAACCTGTAAAGGTTACAACTTGAAATAATAATACCCATTTTGGCCTTCTTTCATTAACGACAAAATTCTCATTGTATAAACTGAATTTCACAAAACCGAAGAAAAAATTACACACAGTTAAATAGACTTTTTCCTTAGATTTTATACTCTCACATTAATAAAATGGTTTTAAATGATTTCGAAATTTTTTGGCATCCTGGAATGAAACAATTTCCAGTCTATCCTGCCCATCAGTATTTCTAGTTTTATTCGTTTACCACTTTCTGTTACATATCATCAAGGCAGTAATTGGTTGATTAGCTAGTGTTGATGATTCCAGCTTGTAAAATAAAATAGACTTACTCTTCTGAAATTTCAACTGAAAACACTTGCTAATGCTTTTGATGCTTCCACTGGAGGTTGAGTTGAGTAATTAATCCTAGTGGAAAACACTTTGTCACTCCTATTCAGTGATGCTGAACCGATTCTGAGTTATCAATACAAAGCTTATCTACCAGACTGTTTGTCTGAGTATTCCTATTCACGCCTTAAGACTGTAATTGATCAGTCTCTCTTAATATATGTGTATCTTGTGCAACTTACCTCGGTATTGCCATTAGGTCGCAAACATCATAAGCAGAGATGAATGGTCGCAAAATCTTCGATAAATAAGAACAAATCAAAATTCTGTCCAGTAAAAGTAATAAAGTACATTTCACTTTATTTTTTGTATGAACAACTGATATTTTACTCGATGAAAATCTGTGTATGTACTAATGTAAATATAAGTATCATCAGAAATTTTGAAGTTTCAAATACATTGTAAGAAAATATACCTAACTTTGGAAATCACTCTTTAAAAACCAAATTGAACTGTATATTGTAGTAGACTAACTATACTAACATAACATAACCAAACAAAATGCATTCGATTTCTAGATTTCATATGTAAAATCAGTAAACGTTCTCATTTATTATACTGATTGAAGATTTTTTATGAACTGTACTTCTGTAAAATAAGTAAATGAATTCATTGTTCTTACTTACTGACTGTAAATTTTCAACTAACCCACACTTTCTTTCATAAACCTCGGTACATTTATTATTATTTTTCTATAACTCATGACTAATTCAAAATATATCAATACTAAACTGAGACACTTCCTCTCTAAACACCATAACGAGAAGAATAATTGAATAATTCCAAGATTAGGTAGTATAATTGTAATATCCTTATAAAATGACGAACAACCCACACACCATTAAATGGTTGTTATTATAATTAATTCACCATTGATTATATACATAAATTATCATGAATAATCGTAATTGTTTATGGTAATTACCACTTTGAAGCTTTTACAAGTTTAACTAAAATTGCATTTAAGTTGGAAACTGAAAATGATTCATCCAGTATATAATTTGTACTTTTTTTATCATTAGAATAATAGAATATACACTGTTTTTAATTGAATTAGGAGACAGCTAGAAAAAACAATAGAAACAGCATGTCTTGTTG